AAAGTAAATGACAAAAAATCAGCTATGTGTAGTTAAGTCTACAACATTACAGAGCTAGACCGTGCCTTACTCATTTTATTCCAACTCAAGGACAATGAAGAGCCACTGTCTCCTTAGACAAGTACTGGAAAAAGAGGACTAGTCAGTATGTCGCAGTCATTGTGCAAGGTGTTGATGGCTGCCTGGTTCTGACCTCTCCCCCACCATCTGTGCAGAGACTTGTGTCCCGAGAAAGCAGCGTGAGAGCAGTCCATTTTCAAGAAATAGAAATTTTCATTCTGCAGAATTTATCACTGTGCATAATTTCTCGAAAGAATTCATTTTGGATTGAAAACTTTGATGTCACTACTTCACATGGCTTGGTTTGGTCTGGGAGATGTTAGAAGGGTGATTTCTAAATCAAATGTTTATGATGGCAGGTCAGCTTCAATTTCAGTAGCGTAGCCCTTAAATTGATGGGCAGGATTCTTGTAGCTAGTATAAATCCATTCAGGTTCGGACAAGTTAGTATACCCATCATTCACATCTGCTTTATTTGCAAGATTGATGTAATTAATATACATAGATCAGTAATTAATATATATATATATATGCAGTCCAGTTCCACAGTGATGTAATTAAGTTGATACTGCTTGGGGTGGGTACTCCCAAATCATCCTTAAAGCTAAGAAGGAGTTTATAGGATTAAAAGCTATTTAACATTAGCTTTTAAACAAGCAAGCTACACTTGTTTAAATGTCAGCAAGTCTGAAGAACAGTGCTTATTTTTTTTAATAGGTTAAAAGAATAGCTAGTACTTTTTTACAGATGGAAATTGAACAGGTTTAACCTGTATTAATTTAAACTGATTCAAAAAATCTGTGTAAAGAAGTTATTTAATTTTAACAATTAAACCTGTTATTGATCTGTTTTAAACGCCATTAATATAAGCTTCTTATATCAACTTAAGCATGCATAAAGTGCTCTCTTTTCTCAATCACTTTTAAACTATGCACATACAGTACAACATCACACGTAGGCAAGCTTGTGTTAGAGGAAAGCATTTATTATGTAGTATATTCAATTCCTTCTCCACTCCTGTGATCCCCTCTAGTGGTCAATAATTGCCTACTAAATGTTTCTTAGTACTACAAATTATTTGTACCTCTTCTGCATTAAAACAGAGTCTGTCTCCTCCTCGTTTGAATTCAAGAGATCTGGTTTTTTATTCCTGTGCTGCATATAAAAAGGACAAAGCAACCGAATCTTTCGAAAGGTGCAGCTAGCGTATCTGAGGGCAGTTTCACCTTCCCTCCTAGGAGCAGACAGATCGTACAGCATGTACAACCAAAAGCCTGTTCTGTTGGCAGTGCAGACCGGGAGGTGACCCCTCTGCTGCAGCAGTAAGTGGGGCCCTTCCACCCCACCCTTGCCACTAGGCAGTATGAGAACGCCCAGCGCCCGTGGGCAAGCCTGGCAGGAGGAACACTTCTCCAGCAGTTTTGAATAGCACAACAACATATGACTTGTCATATTCATACGAGTAGTTCGGTAAGTGGTTGAGATTTACCTTAGTTTAACGTCAATAGAAAATTGAGTTATGTATTTCAGTTTTTAGTAAGATTACAGGCAGCTTGTAATTGTAGAGATTTAGTATGAATTGGCAGAAGACCTATCCCCCAAACTCCTGTCTTCACCTTGCTTTCAACCCAAGGTACTTTCCAATATATTTACGAGCATAGACAGTTGCAGCTGCATGCTCAATTAAGATACCATTTTGTATCAGTTCAAGTTGATTCAAGTCAGTGCTGATACAGTGCTATCTTCATTTTCTAACCTTGGCTGTGTGTTTCTACTCCTTCCTCGTGCTAGCACTGGGAGTTACCTGACTGCTGAGGGAGACGGCTAACTGGCAAAAACTAGTGAAAAAGAAATGCTGACAAAAACCGAGAAGCTCTAGGGCGCTGATGACCTAGTCGAAGCCACATATGCCTTTCACGTGAAAGTAATGGCTGTATGCTGAGACCTTTTCCTTTGGTGTTCTTGTTTGTGTCTTGCAAAGGGCATGCGGCAAAGGCAAAGTCCGCTCCCGTGGAAGTAGGCTGCTACAAAATATTTTTTAGCCAGCTTTATCATGATTTTTTTTTCCTCCCCCAGGGATGGGAAACTCAGGAATGGACATAGAGAAAGTTGCGGATGGAATGAATGGCAAAGTTGTGAGAAGGTGTTAGGCAACCTAAGCATGCAATCACAACCAAAAATGTCTTTCACTTGTGGGTCTCAAGACATAATTTGTGAAACTCAGACTTGTATTTCATCATATATGTAATATCTCTACTATACAGAAAAGTTAGGATTTTTTAAAAAAATCTTGTGGAATTAAAACAGTGACTGATGCATGTGCTTGGCTATCATATATATGCAATATTATCAAAAAACAGTAGGAGAAATTACTAGTTTATGTATTGTCCTGTAACATAAATTAACAAAATACGTTTATGGCATGTAGGAAAATTTTCAGAGAGACACCCAGGGAATAATGCTGCCACCTACTTGTACCACACGGTACCTCTTAAATTACCAGAGTACTTTTTAGTTTTGATAGATGATGTTATGCTAGTTTCACTTCCAGTTGTTCCCAGTTCTTTTTCTTAGCAAGCACTGTTGGGTGATACGAAAACTACTCAGGTTTCTCAGAACAACTGTACAGTGATGATTCACTGCAGGCAGCATAAAGATACAACTTTAGAAAAGAAAGGGAAAGAAAACTGGCTATTTCTGTCTATTTCTGTCTATTTCTGCATATCTTGTTTTCTCACTGTTAACTGGACACTCTATTAATTGGACATTAATGTTGTTTAAACAGGAGTAAGAGTTCTTATTTTAGAACCTCCACTCTCAGGTGCATGCTCCTTCATTTAGAGAAATTATTATGTTAACCCATTTGAAACAAAAGTCCTCTTAAAGCTCAGACATATGGAGCAAGACAGGGTTGAGAGTTGTGAAAGGCACCACTGAGCTACTGGCACTGATGTACATCATATGGTCGACATAAGCTTATCAGACTTTAAGATGCTCTTCTTTCCACCGCCTGCCATAAATAATGTTTTTAATTTCTAGATTTCCATCTCTGTGTGTGGGAGGATGTCACGGCTGTCCTGATTCCTATTTTTTTTAAAGCTTAGTACTCAATAAAGCCACGTCTTCTGCTGAATGGAAGTAATTCAAAATAGTTGCTTCAAAAATTGTGGAGATTTCGCTCATTATCTATGTTGTAATTACTTCCATCTGATTGCACGCCTTTACAGGTCTTCATCACAGATTCAGCTGCTGCATTTTCTGAAGCCCCATGTAAGACAGCACTGGTTAAAAAAAAAAAAGCAAGCAGAATTTTCCTTCTAGTTAATAAGAAAGATAGGAGTCTACAGCTGAGCTAGAAGAAATCAAAAACTCTGAGGAGCTAACACAGCAATATTATTTTAGAGGGAATTCGGGGGATGTTTCACCGAAAGTGGTGATGAGTGCGGGATAAAACAGGGATAGTTTGGGACCGAACAGATAAAAACAGCTGGCGCTAGGTTATGTCTCTCAACATTGCTGTTGCTAAGAAAAGCTGGGAAATGAGAACACAGACATCTCAAAAGAGAAAATAAAGGAGTATCAAAGATCAGACAAAGTCAGGTGTTTTGGGAGACCTGCTCTCTAGTTTTCCAATGTACAGGTCTAATAGTACTGAAACTGGAAATCCGTGCAGGTCACAGGTCTGAAAAGTGACGTGGTCAGAGAGACACAGTGGGTCATCCCACTCTATTACATGCAGCATGCAATCCCAGATAGGCTGTAAAGCTGTATGCTGCTTCCAAGGTCTTCATCACAGGGGCCACATCCAGCTGGAAACCCTCCGTTCCTCAGCCGGGAGCAGCTGGTCACGCTCATAGCTGGTACCATCGCGTGCGTCAGTACAACACAACACACCCATCCCAGCTTCCCTCCATCATTTATTAAAAATATCATAAGCAGACTGGATTTTAAGCTCAGCCAGGCCCCAGGAGCTGGTCCCCACCAGGCCCGCACCCCCGGGGCAGGGGAGTGACCCCCCCACAGTGGCAAATCGTGGCTACGGGGGCCCTGCAGCCGCGGTCTGCTCCGCCTCAGGCAGAATTTCACAGTTCGAAATTCAGCGAGATCCCAGAAATACTGCAGAGGTCCAGCCCTGAAAAGCTGCTTTTTTAACCCCGTCCCAGACGAGGCGCGGGGCAGGCCGTAAGGGCCCCTGGGCGGCAGAGCTGGCTCCCCAGGCTGCGGCCGTGTCCGGAGCCCGGAAGGGCGGCCGCGGTCTCTCCCGGTCCCGTATTTCTTCCAGGTGGCTGGCACCTGGTGGAGCGGGGTAGGTGATGGGTGAGCCGGCTGCAGCGGGCAGTGGCTTGGGGGCAAACCCCGGGCCGGGGAGCAGGGGAAGGCCGAGGGGGAGGGGGCAAA